TCTCTCTCTCCCTCTCTCTCTCTCTCTCTCTCTCTCTCTCTCTCTCTCTCTCTCTCTCTCTCTCTCTCTCTCCTCTCTCTCTCTCTCTCTCTCTCTCTCTCTCTCTTTTTGTCTCTCTTTCACCCTCTCTCTCTCTCTCTCTGTCTCTGTCTCTTTCTCTGTCTCTTTTCTCTCTCTCTCTCTCTCTCTCTCTCTCTCTCTCTCTCTCTCTCTCTCTCTCTCTCTCTCTCTCTCTCTCTCTCTCTCTCTCTCTCTCTCTCTCTCTCTCTCTCTCTCTCTCTCTCTCTCTCTCTCTCTCTCTTTCTCTCTATCTCTCTCACTCGCTCTTTCATTCCGTTCGTCCGTCAGTCAGTCAGTCAGTCTCCCTGTCTCTGTCTCTGTCTGTCTATCTGTCTGTCTGTCTGTCTGTCTGCCTGCCGGTCTGACTGTCTGTCTGTTTCTCTGTCTGTCTGTCTGTCTGTCTGTCTGTCTCTCTTTCTTTCTTTCTATCTTTCTTTCTTTCTTCTTTCCTTCCTTCCTTCCTTCCTTCCTTCCTTCCTTCCTCCCTCTTTCCCTCCTTTCCTTCTTTCCTTCCTTCCTTCCATCCTTCCTTCGCTCTTTCACCCTCGTTCTTTCCCTCCTCTCTTTCTCTTCCCCTTCCTCCCACACTCTCTCCCCCCCTTCCCCCCCCTTCCCCTCCCCTTCCCCACGCAGTAGCAATAACAGTAATGACTCACTGATGGCACTGAGGGGGGGGGAAAGGAGGGGAGGGCAAGGCCAGGTGTAGTGCCACCTGTCGCCACGAGTCATAACACGGAGTGCCACGTTCTCTCTTCCTCCGTCCCTCCTCTTGTCCTTCCCTTCTGCCCCCCCCCCCTCCTCTCGCTTCGATCCTCCCCCAAGGCACGTGGGATCATCCTGGCTCGCCCCCCCCGTGCAGGAACTCAAAACCTGGACATCCCCGCCGGGGGTCGAACCCGGGACCTATGGATTAGAAGTCCATCGCGCTTTCCACTGCGCCACGGGGACGGTGGGGAAGTGTACGCGCGCGCTCATGCACATGCATGGACCCGCGCGCGCACACTTGCACGCACGCACACGTAGGATTATACTGATTCCAAACACACACACATACGCACACACACGCGCGCACACACACACACGCACACACATACACGCACACACACACACACACACACACACACACACACACACACACACACACACACACACACACACACACACACTCACACACACACACACACACACACACACACACACACACACACACACACACACACACGCAGACACTGGCATGTGCCTTACGACCTATATGTTGCCCATTTTTCTCTGCTTCCGAACGTAATTCAGACACGAAGTTTGCGCTGAAGGCAGAATATGAAAGAAGAGGAAGAGACGGAAGCTTAAATATTTAGTGCTTTACGATCAGTTGTTGACATGACAGAGTTTACGCCCGAAGCAGGAGCTTTTAGCG